ATGGCCCAACTGACCACACTTGAAACAAGTGTAATCTCCTTGACCACCTCTTCCAGAACCTGAACTCGGTACTAAAAAATTGGACCTTGACTAAGCTCCCTAGGACTACTGTGGGTTAAAACCCCTCTGTCTCTTACTGTCCCCTTAAACCTCCTAACTCCTCTTGGAGCCCTTCATCTGTTCCTCCGTCATTTCCATCACGGTCTCAAGACGAGTCACCGACTCTACAAGTCGTCCATAATCTCTAATCATCGAACTGGCTTCCTTGAAAAGAAGCCCAATCCTTAACCTTTTCTCGAACTCCACACAACGACGCTCCTCTATTACCACTAACTTTGGTGTAAATCTAGAGAGGCTAGTAAAGGCAGCCTCAAACTCGGTTGCCGGTGTGTTCAACTGCTTGAGCTGCGAGAATTGCTTCTGCAACTTCCCCTAACAGTGGGAGATAAGAACTTGTCCTGGAAGTTATTGACAAAAACCTCTTAATTCATTCCAATGCTCCCACACGCATACTTCCACCATTGACTCGCATCTCCTTTCAACTAGAAGGATGCCAAGGTCACTCTCAGTCTGTCATCCTCGATGCCAAGCATCTCAAACGTCTTCACTATCTGCTCTAGCCACTCATCCGCCTTCAGTGACTCCTTGGGATCACCCAAAAACTTGTCCGGGTTCGACTGGAAAAACTCCCGCTTCAAAAAAGACAGCCCCGTCTCAGCAACATGGGCCTGGACTTGATTATCAGCTCTAAGAATGTCCATAGATTCTCGCAAAGCTCTGGCCATCTCGTGGGCTAAGGTGCCCATGGCTTGCTGACTTGTCGGTTCGGCCATGTTGGCCTAACCAATTCCCTCTTCTTGTGCCGGAATATCATCCGATATCGGCACCTCCTACCATCTAGGCCTACCACGCTTACCACTGCGACCATGTCCTAACATCCTAATAAAGGTAACAAAACAGATTAGCACATTTGCAAATGTACCGAAGCTAACTCACTTACGTCCTAATACGGTGGACAATAGTAATTCACTCTACATAAATACATAGTCACATAAACGTATGCGAATTTTCTTCCTGGATAATGATCGTCCCGCAGCTTTGCCAGATTTCCAATTAGAAATAGCAATAATCAAGTGCTCTTATAATAGGACTTCTAGAAACTCGTAGACCCAATCAACATCCTCGAATTTAAATCCCATACACATACAATCACATAAGCATGTTATCACAAATGTCTCTATCAAGCGAGACAAAACCATTGTGGTAATAACCACTTTTCACATACCCAAAGTATTTAAACCCGGTACGCTCTAATACCAAGTTGTAACGTCCCAAAATAATTATAATTAAATCAACCGTAGCGATAATTAAAAAACAACATAAATCAGAGTACGATATCCTTCCATTTCATAAAACTTAGTTGTACAAAAGAGTTGGCACAAGCGAATATACATTCATAAATCCTAACCCTGAATCTATAGCATATGACAACATCAAAATAAGAAGTAGAAGTTAAACAGATAATGGAAATGTCCTGAAGGCTACAACTTTCGAAGACAATGCTTTGTTACATCAAAAGTGAATCTTAAGCTCAATACATATAAAGCCCTAGGCTTGTACAAACATTAAATAAAAAATAACAAAACGGAGCCTTCAGCTCCACAATCCTCCCAAGCTAAGTCTTTGGTGGAGGCATCTCACCAACACCTGAAAATAGGGGTGCAACTTGGGCGGGCTCAACCCATGCAACCCGAGCCCAGCCCGAATTTTTGTAGGGCTTAGACAAAATATTTTCAAATTCAGTATGGGCTTGGGCAAAAATTCAGAAGCCCGAATTAAATTTGGGCGGGCTTGAGTAAAGACGTCAAACAACCCGAGCAACCCGAAGCCTGAATTTTATATATATACATATATAAAAATATTAAATATATATATAAATTATTAGCCATTACATGATATTAAAGTAATTTGTATCATTAAATAATATTGAATATATATTATATATACAAACAACATAAAATCTTACTTTTTTTTTCTTTTTATTTTCACTCATAAATTGTAAGGACTACTATAGTGGCATCTCTCTTACATTATATAAATTAAGTAGCATATCTCTTACATTATATAAATTATTTGTTTTGATGGTATTAATGACTTTCTATAAAAAATAAAAAATAAAATCTAAATAGAGTCCAAATTTAATAATTTAAAAATGTAGCTGCAAAAAAAAAAAAAAAACTAAAAATTCATTTACAATTCGAGCAACTCGGACAATTCGGGTTTAACTCGGGTCGGGCTTGGGTAGACAACCTCGGGTTACAATTCAGGCTTGGGCGGGCTTGGGCAGGTCTCAGCACAACTTGGGCTGGGCTTGGAGAACCTCCCAACCCGACCGAACCCGCCCGAGTTGCACCCCTACCTGAAAATGGTTTTTCCATATAGGGTGAGCCAAAACCTAGTAGAAATAATCTAACACAATATATGAATCTTAACAAAGACATAAGTGTGAAATGCATTTGCAATGCTCATGACCGAAATGTTTTACATTTTCTTTCCAAAAAAAAAAATAATGCCATGCTTAGTCTATATCAAAATTCTCAAAGTCATGTTCTTTACAATAGAAAACAAGGGGGAATTCTCAAACCGGTACAACCTTTTACGGATATTCCGTCAGGGGAAACCCGTTAAACGACACCCATGTAAACGTAGTTTATACAAGCACTACTATTGCCATTTTACGGATATTTCGTCCGTGGGAATCGGCACCCAGGTATATGTGCATTTTTCAAGATTTTCACCCTAGACACATAGGCAAACTTAATTTGGTGATACATACATCTTTCCAACATTCACCCATTTTCTCAAATTCATATACATATGCAATGTATCAAATGAGCAACAATGTTCAATGCACAAAGATGAGAAATTAGTTTCAATTCACCTAATTCTCATGCAATTTCTATAGCAATCATAACTATCTTCCACTGATAGCCCAAAACAAATGTATAAAATCTCCAATACAGATAAACTTTCCAAATTTTAAGGTGAGTGATAATACATGTCAAACTCCACCATCTATATCAATATCCATCAAATTTCACATTTCCAACATTAATTCCATTTATTTATACAAAATAAATATTTGAAACATTTAGGTCAAAACATATTTTCTTCTAAAATCCAATTCAAGTATCAAAATCAACAATTTTATCACCACTCAACCTCATTTTCACTCCTATAACCATTTTTCATACAACCATTTGAAAACCCTTCTTTTGATTGTAAACTAAAACCCTAAGTTTGTTCAAAATCCTCCAAAATCACAAGTTTGTTCTATAAAAACAAATAACTAAGTTAAAAATCATAAAAGAGTGTAGAGGATCCTAAACTCGAAGTTAGAAGACCAAGGAGAGATTGGAGAAACCTTAAGGGAGTCGAAATCCAACTTTGCTCGGATGAAAATAAAGCTCTAAATGAGCTCTACTTTTTTCTCAAAAGGAGTAGGGTGAAGAAATCAATGGATCCAAGTATTTTAGAAGAGAGAATGTGAGTTTTAGAGAGAGGGGGTCTCAACTTAGGATTTTTAGAAAGTTTAGAGAGAAATAGAGAAAAAGAGAGATGAAAAAGTGATGTAAAATGACCTTTTTACGAACTGATATACGCACAGCTCGCTCGAGCGCAAGAGTTGTCATTTGAGCGACCAGACACAATAAGTTGTTCCGCTCAAGCGCAAGAATCTTCGCTCGAGCACAAAATACACACTCCCAGAAGTTTTATAGACAGAAGACCGTCGCTCGAGCATAAGAAGTCTTGCTGTGCTCGAGCGAAGAACACTACCACTCCATTATCTCTGCAGGCCTGCAAAAGTACTGGAAGCTCACAAAGCTCGCTCGAGCGAAGAGGCCAAATTTTGGACAACAATAGTTTGAATGTTCCAAACACAACCAAGACACTCCAATACTCAAACTCAATGAGAAATAAGGAGAAACACAGTATGAATATCTAAATAATACAAATGAAACCCGGATTTAAAACATTAATGGTTCGGGTCTAAACTAAGAACGCTATATTCATCGTGCCAATATGGCAACAAGGTGAAGATTGACAGTTCAATGGACGGCCTTACCACAACTATGTTTCGGGGAAGCCTTGGTGAAGGCGTTCATGAATGACCCAAGGCGAGGTCTCTACAACCAGTTGTCACTATAATCCCCGTTTTCGTGGTCCGAAGAACCTGTTTTCCGATTATAATATTTTTTGTTCTTTAATTTTATTCTTTAATTTAGTTTTATTCTTTAATTTATAATATTTTTTGTTCCCAAACCCGACCCCAACTCAACCCTTTTTTATCGAGGAATTAGCACCTTTTAAAATAATTCACTTTGTAAAAATCTTGAAATAATGGATTAAGAGTCTAAAATACAATTATTGTAAGGTTTTAAACTAATAACCATCTATTGATTATGTTTTGAGCTCTTAAACCTTCATTGCAAGATTATTGCAGGGAACCCTAATTCATTAATGATTTCTGACTCGTATCAACTTGAACTCCCTTTGTATAGTATGAGTACATCTTGAATCCTCTTTTTGACTCTACTCTCCTACTCCAGTTGAATGTAGTTGACATAATTGAATTTTTGGGTTGTTCAATCAAGTAAGGTAAATTCAATGAAATTTATACTTTGTTTCTTTTGCCCTTCTATTCACATCTTTTTTTTATAATATTTTGCTTTACAAGGTAGATTTTTGTTTTTTTTTTTTTGGTTTATGCAAAACAAATTTGTGTATTGTTATTGATGAAAAAGACTAGATCAATGAAAAAATAAGTGAATTTTGAATCAAATTAGGTTGTATTAGAAAATGTGTCTAATTTCATAGTTTTTGAAAAATCACATTTTTAGTCTAAAATTGTAAAGTTCTCTTACTATAATAGTTCAACCTCATACGACCTGTATCCCAGTGTAATTAAAAGTATATACTTCATAATACAGGAAACAAAATACAACATTTAGTTACAAATCATAAAATAGTTTACGATGAAGTATGTCCAAAATAAATAAGGTGCACATATATATCATATTACCCAAAGATCTATGCTAACATGCTCAAAAGCAAACAACAAAGAATAGTCCGTCCGATACTCATGGCTGTGGACACATGTCAATACCTGCGAGGTAAGAAAGAGGTGAGCACACACAAGATTACTTTAAATAACATGCATGTATGATATACCTATAGTACATGCAACATAATATCCCATTATCAAATTTCATTACGTAATTGAAATAAGATTATTTTATTAACACACACAAGTCCAGCCAAACAAAATAAATTTTAAAAAAAAATGATAAAATACCAATATAGAGTTTTTTTTGGCCAAACCCCCCTCATTGGATCTCTTTTTAGTGAAAGGATAGTCTAAACTTTTTTTAATTTGTAAGCCCTGGGAGAAGGCGGCCTCCCTCATGAAGGACGAATAAATTTGTTTATATCTTTTATAGACAATCTTACCCTTAGTAACTAATTTTATATTTTAAATTTTAAAATAATAAAACTTTTGACTTATGTATTGGTTTTTAGTAAAATTAAAGTTTGCTTTGGCTAAAACTCTCTTGTTTATTAATAATTATAGTGACTATTGTATTTAGTGGAGATGATAGTGTTCTTATGAATCTACATCTTTATTGAGCGAGACTCTATCCAGATCTAAAGAATCTGCCAAAGAGCTTTCTTCTAACTATAGGAGGGTAAGCAAGCTACCTAAAGCGAAGCTTTTGGCTCCCTCTTTCCATTTAATTCCTTATTTCTGTTCTACTTAGGTGGAGCAATCCGAACTCGACAGAATATAAAAGAGGATCGTGTTGGGATCTAAACATGCGTTCAATCCCTAAACCTTATGGATCTTGAAAACTATGAATCACAGAAGAAAATGAAATTAACAGAACACATAGATATACGAGATTCGGCAACGTGGCTCTGTCCTCGGGAGCCACACCAATTCACTATATTGATTATTGAATTACAAACACTTTTTTTCTCATTTTCACTCTCTGAAAACTGTAGCAGCCTCTCTTTATTTTCTCTCACCCTAAAATGTGTTCAATGTTACATTTTGTAAGGTAAAGCCCGTAGGGGCAAAACTAACAATACATGCCTAAAAGGAATTCGAACTCAAGTATTTTAATAACTGTCTAGAATATGGATCAAATTAAGATGTAGGTTGCAAAAAGGGAGTTTTTATTTACACACCATCAATATATCATATCAATTCACACTACTTTTTGAATTTCGCGTCCCTCAAGTAAATTGTTATTAAGGACAAATGTACATGTTGCCATCACCACCTCCCAATCCTACCACCGTAAAACCCCTCCAGTACCCCACCACCATGAAACCCTTCATCTAAAGAGGATGAGGAGGAATGAAGAAGGAGATAATGAGTGGTGGCATATGAGAAGCGACTGCCGGGGGGGTAGTTACTGACGAGTTTGGATTAAGGTTAGGATTTAAAAGAAAAAGGTGAGGGTATTGCCGGAATTAAGCGGTGTGAAGTTCACGTATATGAATCACAGAAGAAAATGAAATTAACATATAGATATACGAGGTTCGGCAATGTGACTATGTCCTCAGGAGCCACACCAATTCACTACATTGATTATTGAATTACAAACACTTTTTTTCTCATTTTCACTCTCTGAAAACTGTAGCAGCCTCTCTTTATTTTCTCTCACCCTAAAATGTGTTCAATGTTACATTTTGTAAGGTAAAGCCCGTAGGGGCAAAACTAACATTACATGCCTAAAAGGAATTCGAACTCAAGTATTTTAATAGTGCAATCCACTGTCTAGAATATGGATCAAATTAAGATGTAGGTTGCAAAAAGGGAGATTTTATTTACACACCATCAATATACCATATCAATTCACACTACCTTTTGAATTTCGCGTCCCTCAAGTAAATTGTTATTAAGGACAAATGTACATGTTGCCATCACCACCTCCCAATCCTACCACCGTAAAACCCCTCCAGTACCCCACCACCATGAAACCCTTCATCTAAAGAGGATGAGGAGGAATGAAGAAGGAGATAATGAGTGGTGGCATATGAGAAGCGACTGCCGGGGGGGTAGTTACTGACGAGTTTGGATTAAGGTTAGGATTTAAAAGAAAAAGGTGAGGGTATTGCCGGAATTAAGCGGTGTGAAGTTCACGTATATTTAAAATAATCCATTCACTTTTCATTAGACTATTTTTAACAGTGAATGGATATTTTTAAATTAATTGCCAACCCCTTATCCCTCAATTACTTGGAGGAGAGTGACCGAGTAATTTTACCATTGAATTCAATCCAATTTCTTAAGGGAAGTTTTCAATTGAATTAATCAACACAATGAAAAAAATTCGGCAATACAGTTGATATAATGAAAACTAGAAGGAACAAGAATTAGTCCTAAAAAAATATATTATAGGCAGAAGAACAGTAGAGAGAGTACCTTTACTATCAGGCCAATGTTTATATACCATTGCAAATTCAAAGGTTTCAGCCCATAATATTTGCTCATCTTCTAGGACCATTTCATCCTCAATATAAGTGGTCCATTTGTTATATTCAGTATCAGTTAAAACCCATGTAACTGAGTCAGGCATTTTGCCAACATTGAATCTTCTAGTTTTGTCTTTCATGTTTGCAAATTCCATATTTGGATTGTGTGCCTGCCAGTGAATTAGAATTAGAAGTCAATATTGAGGAAAATAAGAGAAGCTAGTGAGAACCTCAAGAATATGCATATACGTGAGACTCGTGTCTTTGTGTCTAACGATAAGAAAATTTAGTGATAAATCTGTTTATATATAGCATTACTCATTTTCCTTGTTGTGATGGTTCCAGTGTAAGCATCTCAGGACTATGTGAATCATACAAGATTTTAGACTATCTGAATTAGATTTGGATAATTTAAAGAGATTGTATCAGACAAGTCTCAATACATCCTGCATATGCGACCTAGTAGTGTGTGGAGGAGATATATAGACATGAATGAAACCAGATACCATTTAAAGATTTGGATGGAAATCCAACTCAAAACTAATTAACAATGGGTAGAGAGACCTGCAGTTTGTTTTTGAATTTAGGATTTGGAAAGAGATTTGTGAAGGAAAATAGTGATAAAAAAAAAAAATTTGACTTCTTTTTGTGTGACATTTCCCTTCCTATTTCCTTTCTCTCAACAAATTCATACACAAATTCATAATCCAAATGCAACCTGAATCAAACTTGAATGGATTAAGAATTTGTGTGCCAATCATTAGGGTTCAAATACAAACTTGAAATGAGTTTTAGACAAAAAAAATATGTATTAGCGCATTCATTTTCATATAGGACACAAACACACACACACACACACACATATATATATAGGTGCAACCATAATATCAAAGGAATAACTACAAACCCTAACCACAAGATTATCTTTGCAACATGTGATTAATGTATAACTCAAAGCTTATCTAGCATAAAGAAGTTAAGTTATGTTGTTCCTTTCTTTTTCTTACTACAAGTACCTACCGTCTCCTCCTCTTTTGGCACAAACACAACAATTTGTTGTTGAGTTTCATAATAACGAGCCCATGCTTTTGAATGTGATCGGTATTGTTTGCCTGTCCCTGGCTCATAATAGAACTGCATAATCGAAAAACTTTCTATTAAGTTTTTGGACAAATATGGGATATATAATAGACTTTAAAGAATAAAAGGAAGGAAATATGCTAGAATTATGCATGAAGGAGTATTCGTGGTGACTTTCGACCACTTTTCAACAGCTATCCAGTGACAATACCACAACCAACTACAATGGCCACCTCTTGCTACACACACTGCCTGTCACCACATTTGTCTATCTACTCTCCACCATCACCTACCACCTCTTGCAACTTACAAAGTATGTTTATCTATTTTGTTTTTATTTATTTACGAAAGTACATTTTTTCGCACCAAACAATTTTTTGTTTTTGCTTTTCAAAATGACCAAGATGTTGTTTGATCATGTTATCAGTTTATTTATAAAAAAAAAACAAAAAAAAAAACATACACACACAAGAGAGAGATATTAACTCTGTTTCATGTTAAATAAATTAAATAAATGAACATAGATCTTTTTTCTAGATATTAACTCTTGTCTAGTAATAAAATAAAATAAAATTAAAAAAAAAAAAAGTGTGTAAAACTGGCACAAATTCAAGAGAAGAACAAAGTAAATGAAACCAACCCAGTCAATTTTCCCTAGATATTTCTCATTAGTGCGAGGCCTTGATTCCACCATCCAACCCGGTGGCCCCTCAGTCACTTTCTTTGTTCGAGCATTATTCGGCTTCATTTCTTTCTATGCACACACAAAAAAGAGAGAGATTGAGAGAGATCATGAAGAGAGAAAACTTTCAAAAACAAAGATTTTTTAACTAAAAGAACTTTTTTAAAAATTGAAAGATTGATCAATTGCGATAAAGAGAGAGACTAACCAGATTTGAGAAGTCAAATTCACCTTGTGCTCAATCAAGACTTTATTGTCGTCACTAAAATGTAGATAAAAAAAATCCTAAAACTCTCAATTCTAGAGTTCACCAAGAAATGAGAAGGTTAATTAGAAGCTTCAAGTGAGATATAAAACACAGAGAGAGAGAGAGAGAATCTTATTTTGTCATATGCAAGAAATACCTGAGTTGGCAGGCAATGGTGGTGCTTTGTACTAACAAAAAATTTAATGCATTTTCAAAGAGATTAGCTTGCTTATTTGACCCAAATCAATGGTTAATTAAGCATGCTTTGTTGTATTACCTTAATTTAATTTGCGCTATGCTTTTTCTTTCTAATGGGACAAACTTATCTAGAAGTGATTAAGACCACAAATTCATTGGTTAATTGAAACAGTGTACTACCCCAATTTATATAGTTGTTTTCTTTCTTTTTCTTCTTTTTTTTTTCAATTTTTTTTTTGTTTGTTTTGTTTTAATAATCATATTTGCACCTAATTCATCTTCCATTCTATATTATTCAATGTCAAATTAAAAAATATGATAAAAAATAATTTTTGTCGGGGCTATTAGCCATTGGCCGAATCAAATTTACTTTGCTAAATAGATTTTTCCATGGATTGTTACTTTGCTGGCCATATTTATTGCAGATTACAATAATCTAGTCTAGATTATATACTTTCAAAACTTAAAAAGTATAATCACTATAAACAATTCTTCTACTTGCACAAGAAGCCAATAACAAAGGGGGCATTTATTATTCAGTCATATTAACTAAACTTATTTACCTTTAAGTCCTGACTGATAGATTTATCACTGTAAATTTATTCATAAAAACAGGAGAAATTGATAAATTTATCAATAGGACTTAGTTTTAATGGATAACAAGGCTCAAAAGTATGACATATTGATAATTTACTCATAACAACATTAGATACAACCCTATTACATCAGTGTGGGACCCACAAAAATATGGAATTCGATTCATGTAAAAGGGTTGTGCTTAATTATATTATCAGATTATAAGTATTTATTCTGAGATTATATGCATTCAAAATCCAAGAAAAGTATGAATATCATCTCGTAAATGACATTTAATATGGCTTTTATCATTACTCTAACACCTACTTCATTAACTTACCAAGTTAGCTTTATTTCCTATGTTTTGGAATGGGTAATTGTAATAACTTCTCTTACAAAGACAAAGTGAAAACGGAAGATCTTGGATTAATTTTCCCCATATTTTAATTAAGCGCTAGCCACTAGTATTCTTAAACCAAAAAACAAATTAAAATTTTTAATTGCCCTTTGCAAATCCAAACCTTGAGTGACCAAATTACAAAAAAAAAAATATCATTATGAGTGACGCATTGCACCGCTAAAGGATAATTGTCAAAATAGATATATGTTTTTAAAACGAATGGACCTCAAATTAACATCGTCGACAAAAAATGATTGCCAATCAAGAAAATGATAGTTAATCAAATTAAATTGTATTCTAATTTTTGCGTGTATTTAAAAGAATGGAGCTCCAATTAATTGTGCCGCCACAACATGATTGCCGATGAAAACGAACATGTATATTTAAAACAATTGGATCTCAAATTAATTCTGCCGCCAGAAAAGATTGTCAATCGAATTAAGCTTTATCCTAGTTTTTTAAAGAAAATAATTGCCTATCAAGAAAATGATGTTAATCGAATTAAATTTTATTCTAATTTTTAGAAGTCACGTGTATTTAAAACAATGGAGTAGCTCAAATTAATTGTGCCGCCACAACATGATTGCAAATGAAAAAGGACATGTTTATTTAATTGGACCTCAAATTAATTCTGCCACCAAAAAATAATTGTCAATTGAATTAAACTTTATGCTAATTATTTAATGTCACGTGTGTTTAAAACAAATAGAGCTCAAATTAATCCCGCCACCATAACATGATTGCTAATCAAAAAGGACATGTATGTTTAAAACAAATGGACCCTCAAATTAATTCTGCCACCAAAAAATAATTGCCCAAATTAACTTTTGTCCTAATTTTTACTTAAAATTTTAAGTAATATCAATACTAATTATCAAATTGACTTCATTACTAAAATTGAAAATTAAATACTAAAAACTGAATGTTGAATTTTTTAAATTAAAAAATTATTTGAGAAAGTTTCAAGTGTTAAACTAAATATTTTTTTTGACATGATGAATTTAAAATATATATATATATATATACATATATATATATTATTTTATAATTTTTCTTCGAGCTTTTAGGTGGTGGTGGTGTTATAGTGGGTGCAGGGTAGTCATGCTAGTTGTGGTGGAAGTGGTAACGGTAGTAGTCGCAATGGTAGTGGTTGTAGCAGTGCGACAACGATGGTGAGATCATAAAGGTGCACGTTGATACTTATACATAAGTTGTTATAAATTCAATCAGAATTAAATAAGTTTCTAATTACGTACAATTTTCTTAAATTTAAACTTATGTTTTAAAAGCTGCTTAATTTTTTTAAGTGATGCTGATTGTGATTATAAAATTGACTTATTTAATTTTCATTTAATATATTAAATTTTAAGTGTTTAATTAGGTTATCTAACACCACTTGAGTTATCAAATAAAACCTAAGAGTATGCTTGGATTAAATATTTGATGAGAGACTTGTGGAGGAAAATAAAATATATATAAATAAATAATAAAAAAAAACACATATCAAATTTTATTTATTTTTTCTTTCTTTTCTCATCATAATTTTTTTTTCAAATCTTTAATCCAAACACATAATAATATAAAATAATAAAAGTACCATAAGTATCAAAAAATTCACAACCACAGCAATCCATAAGATAGCAAGTACAATAATGCCTAGTACATAACATAAAAACTCCATACTACGTTAAACGAGAGACTCGCTAAACTTTAGTAAGGTTGTGTTTGAGATTGAGATTTGATTAATGATTTTATGGAGGTAAAAGAAAATCTAAGAGAAATATAATTATTCTTTCCATAAATCATTTTAAATTTTTTGAACAAACACGTTTAAACAAAGATCCTTTCCATTATGCATTGTCACTTTGATCAATCCTGTCCTTCTCAGCTTGATCAGCATTGTTCGTCTGTATTATATGCAAACAATACTATCAATTCAGTTAATAAGAAGTGTATATCTATATATTAAAACATATCAATTTTTAAAAAATGTCTTATATGACGAAGTTGACAGTTAAGATTAAATAAATCTAACGGTTAGTGTAAATTATTATAAAACATAGTAGTTTCTAAAAAATGTCAATTGTGACAAGGTAAATAGTTAAAATTAAATAAATCTAACAATTGATATTATTTTCAATAGTGTAAAAAATATGGATCAAATTAAGGTGCAAATAATAAAATACTAGAATTGTACTGGAGAACCCCATAAATAACACTTCTACTTTGATCTTTAAGCTCTGTATATTTCCCTAAAAATGTTTTTATTTTTATTTTTATTTTGACATTAGGTACAATGAAAAATAAAAGTTGATGAATCAAATGAAAAATTAGTTGATTTTGACAATATATATATTTTTTAAATGAAAAATATTTTTTGAACTAGAGTACTAACAATTCCGCAATACAAGAAAAATCACCTTTGGCGACCAAAGTTTTAGTCGCCAAAGGTCCATTATTAGTCGCCGAAAGTCGAGTTTTTACTTTCCCCAACTAAAATTTTTAGTCGCCCGTTTTGTCGCGTATACATGGTCGCCGGAGGTATTGGCGACTAAATTTTTTTAGTCTGCAAAAAACAGTTCTTTAGCGACCAACGTTTTAGTCGCCAATAGTGATTTACACTTTTTTAAATCACACATTTAGCGACTAATCTTTTAGTCGCCAATACTCACTGAATTTGGCGACTAAAATTTTAGTCGCCAAAAGTGCTTCCGTGAAAAAAAAATACCAATTTTTTTGCTTTTTCTGAGATTTGAACTGCCAACCTATCCCACTTTCTAAACCTTTAGCAACACACTCCCTCCACTATGCCACTACAACACCACATGAATATATATGCAATATATATTATTTATATAATATATTTTTGGCGTATTAATATAAAACTATATATATATAATTATTTTTATTCAATATAATTTATGTAAAAAATAAATTATTTACTAAAAAAAAATTGAGGCCACTTTTGGCGACTAAATCCATTATTTAGTTGTAGTTGTATAGAAAATGGGCTCCCCCTCATTGCTTAGTCTTATATACATAGGATTAGTTTAGACTAATTAGGTATACTTAGGGTTAATTAACCTAACTTTATTCTAATTAATTTTAATCTGAATCAAAATTTTAATTAAATTCTCAAAAGGTTCTAAATATTCGAATTAACCTATTAAACTTATCAATTTTAGTTTCTGAATTCATTAAGGCTTTCAATTTCCAATTCGAAACAAGCATTCTAACAGATGTTCCATAATTCAAATAGATATATTCAAATTAAGCACATAACACACTTTTAAACATTCAAATTTCACATAATAAGACAAATGCAATAATGATATGCATGTTGGTGTCATCACACACCCTTGAACTTTAATAGTAATAACGTAAAAACTCAAAATTAAAGTGTCTTAACTTCAATGAAATTTCTCATTCTCATTATTAAATTCATGCCAACACGTCAACCATTTACTGGGTTCATAAAAATGTAAGCATTCCCAATTTACTTCCAATATCATTTTCTTTTAAAATCCTCTCTATACCTAGCAAATTGACGTAGTGTTCAATGTATTCCAAGAAGACTCAGAAACCAAAATATCATAAAACAAATATGTACGCAAATCATACTATACTAAATATCATCCAAACATCAATCGTAGTATACAAAGACACATACTTGCAAAATAGGTTGTAACTTAAAACTCATTTACTCTTTTAAGCTTATGAAAAATACTTTCAATACTAATAAATTTTATTACATGTAAATCGCCAAAACAATCATTCATAGACTCTGTTACCATTGCTAGAAAATATAAGGGATATCTAAGAACACCTGATGTAGATTAAGAACCATACATAGGATCGAAAGCTTGCTTTACAAGCTCCTTTTTCTACATGATTTTTGCAAACCCCTCTCGCAGGGGCTACTAGAGTGCTCTATGTGGATACCTCAAGC